GAGGGGGCCTTGGGCAGCCCCCCCCCGCAGGCCCCCCCCCCGGGCGGGGTGTTGGGGGGGGGGGGGGGGATGGTGCCACTGCTGCAGAGCTCAGGGGCTGCGAGACCCAGCGACAACTTGCGCAGGCAGGCTCTGCTGAGGAAAAAAAGAAAAAGGGCCGCATCTCCTGTGGCCAGGGGGCAAGCTGCCAGCGGGCCAAGCAGCCCCTGAGCTGCGGGGCCCCTGGACCATCCATCTGCGGCAGTGGTGCCCCCAGGACTGCCCAAGTGAGCTGCTAGCAGGTGGCTGCTGCAAAGGGAAGGACCCGGGGCCCCCACAGCTCAGGGCCCACTGGCAGCTCGCTCCCCAGCCACAGAAGACACAGACAGGCTCTGGGAGAAAAGAAGAAAAAGGATCAGGCCTCTTGCTGCTTTTTTTTCCCCCTCAGTGAAGCCTGTTCACGTGAGCTGCTATTGCATAGCCCCTGAGCTGCACAGGACCTGGTGCTTCCCTCCATGGCAGCAGCAGCCCCCTGGGGCCACCTGGGTGGGCTGCCAGCAGGTGGGTGCCACCACCATGGAGGTAAGGTCCAGGGCTCCCTTCAGCTCATGGATCACTTGGCCCACCAGCAGCTCCCCACCAGCTGTGGGAGAGGCAGGCAGGCTCCTCCAGGAAAATAAAAAAAAAGCAGGCCCCTCACCACTTTTTTCCCCCCCTTGGTGAAGCCTGCCCACGAGAGCTGCCGCCAGGCTGTGCAGCCTCTGAGCTGCCGAGGGGCCTGGTACTTCCTTCCATGGCAGCGGCGCCGCCCAGGGGTGTGCTAGTGCGCAGGTGCTACTCCAGGCCACAGGCAACATCCAGACCAATCCAACCATGCATGGGGCACTGCAGCCCAGGTGTGCTCGGGCAAGCTCGGACTTAGCAGGCTTCTAGCACCCCATGCACCATCCTCACCACCTTCCTGCTACATAGGACCGCCTGGGAATGGGCTGGCCTGCCGCTGGGGCAGTGCAGGAACACAGGAGGAGGGTGGCTGGGCGTGCTAGAGGCTGGAGAAAGCAGCGGGGTGGTGCACGGGGCTCTGGAAGCCCACCAAGTCCAAGCTTCCTCGAGCACGCCTGGGCTTCCAGCGCCCTGTGCACCACCACCACCTTCTCCAGCTGTATCGCTGCAGTTTGTTACATAGCATACTAAAATACATCAGATGTCTTTTACTTTGCTACATAAAGTCATTTAAAGCAAAATACACTGCCACACGTGTACAGCGTGACAAAATTAAAACGAAATACACCACCGCAGGGGCAATTAAGCCACTTTAAAGGAAAATTTCATCATGTGTACAGGCACCCTAAGACATTAATATAACACAGAATAGCTGCTTAATTTCCATTCCAGAAAAGAAGATGCCAGCGTGACAAAATCATTAGCAAAGCTAAGCGCACTTTATCATGCATCAGCAAAGTACAACTTCTAAGCAATTCCTAATTGTACTATGACCCACTGCTGAATTTTTTACTTGCACAAAACTCCCAATTAAAATCCACGGAAGATTGTAATTTGGCTTTTGCAAACTTAACTTGGAATCTGCCTGAGTAAAGGGTTAAGAATCAGTCCTACAGCAAACTAGATAATATTAACATCATTTTTCATTGCTTTGTTTATTCCTTAAAATAAAATGACACAGAATTTCCTCTAATGATGCATCATAATTAGCTGGCAATTTACAACCCCAAGATCATCCTCCCCGCCAGCTTCCAAGTCACTGGTAACACAGCTAAATAGCAAATGATGCTAACTGTTTTACCCAGAGGTGCAATGGCCTACTCGTATTCTGAGTGTCCTAATTTCTCGCAGGCATATTTGTATTTATTTTGGATATGAAACCTCAGCAGAGCAAATAGCCATTTGTCTCTTCAGTTTTGCCCTCGTCATTAAATTCATGCATGATCTCTTTGTCTACATACATTGAACATCATTTTGTTATGACAGCACGAGGCTCAGCCTACATAACTGACAATGTGGATGCTCAGTTTGACTATATGGACAAAGAATTAATCACTCAAAAACAATATCAATTGCCACTTTGGAAATTTTTGGCCCAGGTCACCAATGACCTGCAAAGCTGAATACTACAAACTTCTAGGAAACAGGAAGATCTGAATATGCCCAACGGTATGTCCTCTGAGAGAGAATTTTGATTATGGATCTTAGCGTATGCATGATTGTGCTGTTTTATGATAGGAATATATTTACTGGAGAAACTCCTGTAGCTATCTCACGCATTCACAGTGTTTCCTCAGTATATGGACTTTGTAGGGTAAAACTGTAAAGTATTCCAGAGAACAGAGATATTTGGGATTTATGGAGAGTAACATTTTTTAATAAAATTGCATAACGAGTATTTTATGGGATCCAGCTTCAAAAAAACCTTCTTGTAAAATGAATGGTTTAAAATGGGCAGTTCAGTCTTTCACATTTTTTTCAAAATGATGGGCCACTGAAACAGCCATTTAAAACTTTATCTAACAATTTCCTGTAATAGCTGTTATATTACTTCAGGGTGGCAATGGAAACTAAAACGTAGGCCATGCATGTGAAGGACAAATGGAGTTGTTAGAGTCACCTGTCCTGTGTGGAGTGTGATGTATTAAGATGAGGTTTTCACTCTGGAATATTTCTCTTCACTGCAAAAAGGGCCCTCTTTTATTCCAGGTGCTAAATACAAGCAGATACAAGTGTAGTACTTGCATCCCTTATCAAATTAAAATCTGTGAATAACTTTAAATCTGTGAACAATAGCTAATGTTTGGAATAACAGAAAAATGTCAGGAAGGAACATCTCCAAAGGAGATGGACCATAAAGAACATTTCATGTTGGCTTTTGTATAACCTCACTGCTGCTGCAGTAATTGCCACTGACAGGAGCAGAATCTCTGGAGTCACAAAGCCAGAAAGGGATCAACCATAAGTTCTTTAACTACTAAACACATTCTACAAGCAGTCAAAAATCACTCACAGAGGCTCTTCTACTATAAGACAAATTAAAATTTTATGGGCACTTACCTTTTTATAAAAAATCCCAAACCAGATGCAATGCTGCAAATAAATTCATTGGTCATTTGCAGTAATGCAACTAACAGGTCCTCAAGGTTATGCATAACAGACCTTGCATTTCACTAGTCCAGTGAAGTCCCAGCCCAACTATATCATAGTAATTGAATGCAGTATCCTTACTTGATCCTGCTCCCCACCCCCTTCTTCATTATAGTTGAGGATATTCTCTCTGATGTCCTCCAAGTCATCATGATATGCAGACACGTGGTAAACTCCTCCATTCAAACCTTTATGACTCTTCCAGCGGGTCCACAGGAAAACCCCACAGAACAGAACTAGCAAGCGCATGAGAATGAAAAGCGAGTCATTATTCAGAAGTTAATCAGACTGTAACATAATTTTAAGTATTGCAGTACGGTAAAGACAACATCCATATAGCAATGGTTACTAGACAGCCAGTATACAATACAATTACAGTGGCTTGAAAAGAAAGTAAGAGTGTAGATTCAGGGCCTTAAGAAAGCAAGCCAATAAAAACCAACTTTTGAGATCAGCCCTCCTCTTGATTTAAGCATTATTTTCATTTACAGTCAGCACAGTTGCACAAGAATATCAAATGGAGAAGGAAAGGCCGTAAGGTATTCATTTATTACTAGATGAGTAACATTTGAAAAAGTGAATGACATGCAGCAGCAACTTTATCTGCTTACTGTACTGAGTTGGACAAACCTGATGGTTAACAGAAAATGCATACAAAGATGTAGCACAAAAACTGATGCAGATGAATCCTGAGAAGTTACAACTCTGTGAACAAGAATGGAAATAAAATATAAGACAACATGAGACAAAGGGCAGGAAGACTACTACATAATTTATTGGGGGGGGGGGGGGGG